ATCTCCGAGAAATCCTCTGCACAAATTTTGTAAGAAGAAAAAGAAGAAAAATAATAAAGGGGAAAAAGAAACCGAAGAATAATAGAAGGGTCTTCCGCTGAAGACGGAAGACCCTAATAACTAGAAACGATCTCGTTGCGAGCAACGAGAGGTCTTCCGTCTGATTCCGGAAAATATTCCATTTAAAATGTGGATAAAAAAATTTGACACACGACCAGTTGAACCTGGGTAGCCAGCGTGAAAATCCAACAACATTTTTTTTTCTTTTATTAATCCAACAACCTATCCATTACGCTAGAGTAATGGATAGGTTCTTAATTCACCATTCATAATTTTGCGCCAGACGCCGCGAATAGATATTCGCGTCTTCTCTCTGTAGCGTTCTTTTAAATAGGTGTGATTGCTTCAATGAAATGAAAAAAATAGAACGTTCGTATCGCCTATATCTTATTTCGAGGTTTAGAAAGCATATTTAACACATTGTACACATTACATATCGTATCTAGCCAAGTAACACTAAAGCAGTGAAACGGCGATTAAGTTTGAGTTTGACACAGAAATGCAATGTTAGTACTACGCGACAATCCAAGTAGTCTTCTACATTACATTTTTCCTTATGTTAGTTTTGTTTAAGCAAACGCTCGGCTGCCTCTATAAACCCTGACTTGCGAAATGGCAGAGCTGACTGAGACAGCCGCCATTTTGGACACGCTTCAGATTTTTAAATGTTTATATCTAGAGTTGAGATTTACCAATATTTAAACAAATTATATATTAAGCTTTTAAAGAAGGGTCTCTATTAGCATTCCAAAAAGATACGAAAAATATTGAAAAACAAAAAAGTTAGAAAATACTTTTTTTTTAATTCGCTTGTCATAACGACCGGAAGAACTGACGACGAATGAAAGGTCGCGTCCTGGATAGCAAATATCACGATCTATGATCCCTGAAAGTTTCACATTGATATCTTTTACCGTTCTTGAGATTAACCACGGACAAAATGTCATTTTAAAATCAGGAAATGTCCCGTAACTTGGCACCAGATTGGAATTCTCAAAAAATCGCTCAGATAGATCAAGTTCATGTTACAACACATCTTTTCTGAAAATTTCATTTAATTCTACCCAGTAGTCTTCGAGAAATCGCGTGCACAAAATTAGAAAGTCAAAAAAATAATAATAATAATAAGAAACAGTAGAATCACTATAAGGTCTTCCGTGAAGACGGAAGACCTTAATAAGAAACAGAGTAAAAACAATATGTTCCCCAACTTTGTTTGGGGAACATAATTAAGTACAGTAAAACATTTAAGAAAGAAAGAATTTTGAAAGTATGGAAAAATCAAAATAGCTCACTTTCACATCCTGAAGTGACTTCATCACCGAAGAGTTATCAAACAGGTTCAATTATTTATCATACCTAAGATTTGCAAGAATATTGACCAAGCAATACACATTTTTTTCAAAGTGCGTTAATATGGTTGATATTAACGAACTTTGAAAAGAATTGTTTTTTTCACAGTGCGTTGATTTGGTCCCAAATTTTAGTAACAATGCACGTATCTTTGCTCTAATAGCCTTTAGTTAAAACATTTTAATATTGTTTTCCTTTAATGGGGATAAAACAGTTTGTATTATTAATGTAAGGTATCGTATAGCTTTGATTGTTATTTAAGCTTTAAAGCTTTCAGAAATTTACATTCAAAGCATAAGACAGCTCGATATTACCCGTATACATTCGCCTAACAAAAATATTCCTACCAAAACGAATGTTTTTGCATCAAAAATTGATAAGGGGTCATTATTCTACGGAGTCATTTTTCTACAATGCACAAAACGACCCAAAGGCCATAATTTCTACAGAAAAGTGGGTCATTTCCTACACAGAACATTGACCAGGGGGTCAAATTTCTACGTAGATAAATGACACCCGGTCAATATTCTACGGGGGTCACTTTTCGTCGTTACACCGGACATCCCCCTTAATAGACACTTCAGAACAAGTAAAACACATTTCATTGCAAAACACAACTTTGTGTGCAACCAGCATGGAAAAATGGGAAACTTAAATTAACAGTACTATATATAGTTCAAAAGGGAAAAACTAATAATTTTCTTCTAAAAAACCTTCCGCCACAAAATATAGTTCCTGGCTTAATCCTACTTGAATGGAATTAAATTTCCTTTCTTTGCAATGGATATAATAGTTTAATCTGCATTGTAGAATCTAAATTCAATGTTAAAACTTGATGCAGAATTTTAGAAATAAAGGTTCAGACCAAAATCGACTCAAAAGCTCAGGATCGAACGCCCTTAAATCAATTTCACAGTTGGATGACTGGAAAAAAAACAGCAAAATGTAAATGTAAATAATATGATTTGTTAGTTTTGTACTAAGGGTACGTTAATTACTATGCTGATCCCATAATCAATATATTGTCTTTTTTTGTGCATCATAGCTTTATTTATCTGCCAAATGTCGTTTTATTTTATTCTTCAATCCACTGATCCGCTAATACTTTCATGTATCCCATGTTTATTCCGTGGATATTATCCATAGGCATGTTAAACAGATTTGCCAAATGAAGGTCATTTTGCGCGCACGTGCTTGCAAGAGCGGGCACGTGCAACACGTGAAATTACCAATATAATGAATATAGCCATAACTTTTCTATTTTTTGATGAATTTTTTTAAAACTAATATCGTATGGATATATTAGTAATATAGACAAGATGACATGGTCAAAATAGCAAGATCTCGCCTGCATGCACGTGCGCTTTGCTCTGATTGGCTGAAACTAAAGTTTCAATATCTTTCTTGTTTTTTCTCAAAATCCTTTGAAATTTTGAACAAAGTCATACATTATGAAGATTTACAGCACGATATATTATCATTTAAGCACGTGCATAAACGTGTGCTGCAATCTGATTGGCTGAAACTTTAAATGGCTATAACTTTCTTCTATTTTCTTGTTTTTCAACAAAACGGGATGAAATTTAGAATATGAATAGGCATAATGGATTCGTATATTATGCAACTATACACATTGAATGCAAGGACGTGCATGCACGTGCGCATGCACAAAATGAATAATATACTTGTAAAATGGTAACATTTATATCTGTATTAATTTTTTTGATTCTCAGTATATAAAGATATGTTAATCTTTTAGCCAACATGCCATGATCACCTAGCACGTGCACGGGCATGCAAAACGTTAAATGATATATAGTTGATATCATTGTAACTTCTTAGTTCTAAATCCTTCGATACTAAGCATATAAAAAAGTCTTACAGAAATAAGGCACAAAGAGGGATTTGGGGAGCGTTTGGGGAACATCTGTAACGGGGACTGTTTATCTGCCAAATATCGTTTTATTTTATTCTTCAATCCATTGATCCGCTATTACTTTCATGTATCCCATGTTTATCCGTTTATCACGTGGATATTATCCAGGTTCAATCAAGGGTGTACGGGGATTTACTCCGGGTTTTATTCCATACACCCTGAGGCCGACGGGTGTATGGAATACAACCCGGGGTAAATCCTCGAACACCCTTGATTGGACCTGGATAACGAATTTATTTCCTATGTACCCATAAAAATTCTTTGTAAACATCAGAGTCTAATCAACTGTGTCTCAACCTATCGATCAGATTTACTGCGTACTACAATGCATTGTGACGTCATGTCATTTGATTTTTAGCCTAATATATCATAGAAAAACTATGCATTGTTACGTCACGTTTTATTTACCCCCGGCTCAATTTGGGTGCATGGAAATTCACATCCGACTCTATAACCAATCAAAGCTCGTGTTACAAGCTACATAGGAAATAAGACTCATTGGATATTTTTTGGGTGCAAAACACAGTTTTATGTATGACGTTATCAGGACGTTACTTGGTGAGGGACAAGCAAAACTGACCCCTATAAAAAAATAAAATGGAGGCTTGTTACATAGACTTCTGCATATCAATGGAAAGATAAAATTGTGAATTTTGTAAATATCCAACTATAATACATTCATCAATTACTACTACGGGGTATTTGACACCTGAAATATGGGGGATATTGGGTTGTTTATGCATCCATTTTCAGTGCATCTATGCATTTTTAACCCCCCTGCTCAACAAAAACAGAAAAAATCAGACATAATAAGTTGTATGCATTTCACAGAACAAGTCCTAAGGTTTTCTTTTAGTGTGCTTTCAGGGTACATTTTCCACCTCATGAAAGAGCTACATTACCTGCTAATTGACTCATGCAATTCTGCACATGTGAAAACTGGATGTTTTGGGAGTTATCTCCCCCTATTAAAAAGTCTCATAATTTTTTTTTTCTAAAAATGAATGCACATTTTTTTCTTTAAATATTAAGATAAGATTCTACTTTATGTGAATAAAAACAAAAATGATGCAGTTTTCATCTAGACTCCTATAAATAGCAGGAAAATCCCTACCCAGCATGCTTCTCTCTGGGAAAAACCCCCTGGATTTTATACGAAACTGTGTTTAGCTACCTTTATATCCCACAGTTGTGATGTCACATTGGGTTTTGCAATAAGTGATAAAAAATCAACTCGTTGGATAAAAATTACATGTATATCCAACTACAAATCATGGGAAGATCCTTTATGTACATGACTGTTTATAAGGCCCTTCAGCCTTTTGTCAAGACAAAATACAATTATGACTCAATAAATCAAAAGTGCTTCAAAATTTTCTTGCAATACATTTCATTTTACCATTTACTTTACTAAAACTGTTGGCATAAATTATAAAGTAAAAAGTGGCATGTTCGGACAATATAATGCTTTTTTTCTAAAAATAACTTTATACTTAGAATATATGCACAGGCATCTTAACTAGTAGTTCATTCAGTGTTAACCTTAAGTATACGGTACGTATATATACATTGGACGAATAATACGATTTAAGAACAAACTGTAATTCTATGCTTTTTATAGGATTATTCATTACTTTTTTTTCAGATTTTGGCAGGTAAAAACTTTCATCCTTTTGTTTATCCTGTTACTGTGTATAGGACTGGCATTTATGATATTTCAATTTATGTATCAAACAAAGAATTTCGAAGGACGTCCTGTGAGAACTCCACCAAACTGCCCTTTGACAAACAAAACAGAGTGGAGAATATTGTGGTACAAAATTCCATCCTATTTAGTTAGTGTGCTGAACTATACAAAACATAAAACACACAAAAAGCACCCAAACTGGATCTTTACACATGACATTAAAGATTTATCTAAGAGTGATGTTGTGATATTTACACATTTTACTATGGGTGATGTGCCGCCAAACAAGACCAAGTGTCAAATGTGGGTTTTTCACACTATGGAAGCTCCTAAATTCACGTATAAACACTACCAAAAATGTAATAATAGTCTAGATTGGTTGATGTCTTATAGCAGAAATTCAGATATATATCGACCTTATGGAATACTTAAGAAACGGACCTCCCTTTTGGTGAAGAATTATACGGAGATATTTCAGAAGAAGAAATATTTTGGGGTGTGGATGTCAGGGCATTGTCCAGTACCGTCTCGTCGTAAATATTACATACTTGATTTAAAGAAATATATACAGGTCGATATGTTCGGTTCTTGCGGAAGTGCTGTTTGTCTTACTCGAAGTGCAGGACTTAACGAATGCTTGCGAAATTTTTCTCGTGATTATAAATTTTATTTTGCCTTTGAAAATAACATTTGTAAAGACTACACGACAGAAAAATTATTTAATGTATTTTTGGGTAATTTAGATGTTATTCCTGTAATTAATGGACCAAAAAATGCAGCGGAATACATACCTAACGGAACATTCATAAATGCTCTAGATTTCCCTTCTCCTAAGGATTTAGCGGAAAAACTAAAGAAAATTAGCTCAAACCAAACCCTTTTTACAAAATACCTTAGAGAAAAAGACAGATACATAGAAATTGGTTTAAATGAAATATTTTTACAATCAATGCTCCAAATACTTGACAAGATTAATCGAACTAACGGAAATATTGTAAGACGCAAAGAAAGCTTAAAAGAGCTTTTCTTTGCGAGTGATGAAGACTGCTAAATTAAATATCTAATTTGCTTTCCTGATCATGAAAGGCAAATTAAAATTATTTAAACATTTGTTCTTAGGTTATTATGGAGATCTATAACTTAAGGTCGTCATACAAACTGACAGATATTAACTACAGTATTCCAAGGAACGCAAGTGTCGCCTGCTTTTAGCTTCTTTAAAGATGTAACTAAATCTAAGGGTGGGCAAGTATTAAATGCTACTAGCATATACATTATTTCATGCAAAACAACAAGTGTTTGCAAAACCCTGATGCCCCCGTGTGGCAGCTAATGGCGAGGGATGAATTCTCTCAAATACATGTCAAGCTCCAAAGGTCAAGGCCAAATTTGTTGGTATCCAAAGGAAGGTCTTCTTGTTACAAGGAATACACCCGTGAAATACGAACAGCGTATTTCTAACCGTTCAAAAGTTACGACCAATGTAAAAGTTTTTAAAAAAGTGGGGAAAAATCTTAGGTCAAGGTGAAAAAATATTTATAACAGTTGAAAGGTCTTGTAACAATGAATATACATGTGAAGGATGAAAGCTCTAGCTTCAACTGTTCAAAAATTATGACCTAGGTTAAAATGTGATATCATTTTTGGTAAAAGTCGGTCAAATTCCAAGGTCAAGGTCAAGAGGTCAAATTTGGTGGCACCCATGAAAAAGTCTTGTCAAAAGAAATACACTAGGTCTTGTGAAATACATGTAGGAAAGCCATAGCCCCACCCACTACTGTGTTTCAGATGCACACAATAGTTAAGAAACCAGTACAAAACTTTGGATTTTTCTCATCAAAAAGGCCTAAATACTGAACTTTCTTATTTCATCCTCTATAAATGATATTGACACCACCACCCTTTTTTTAGCTCTACTGGTCAGAGACCAGAAGAGCTTATGCGATAGTAATGCGTCCGTCGTCCGTCCGTCTGTCTGTCTGTAAACAATTTTTCAAAATGCTACTCCTACTACAGTTTTGGTCCGATTTCAATATAACTTGGCACACAAGTAGACTACACTTAAGATACATAATTTTGTGCATCGGTTTTTGATTTCGATGAAAGGTGTTGCCGTGGTTACTACAAATAGAAATTTCTGTGAAATTCTTTCAAAATGCTACTCCTCCTACAGTTTTGGTCTGATTTCAATATAACTTGGCACACAAGTAGACTACACTAAGATACATAATTCTGTGCATCGGGTTTTGATTTCGATGAACGGTGTTGCCGTGGTTACTAAAAATAGAAAGAACTTTATTCGGTAGCAACCAATATTTGCCCCCCAAATCAAACTTTGATGGAGATATTTTTAATTCAGTTCTTAAACAGGGGAGTATATACTGACTTCAACGCACTGAATATTTTCATAAGTAATGACGCCATATGTACGTAATGACGTCACAAACATGACGTAAATTTCAGTTTTTTATTAATTTTACAGAAAAATGTACATATTCCGTCGATATTTTGAGTAAAAGTCACCGAGCGCATGTGTGTTCAGGATCAATATTTTGATATAATGTGTAGAATGATAATATCAATGAAATATGTCAATATTGTTCCTGAACAAACTTGCGCTCTATAAATTTTAAAGCTAGAATTGTTGAAATTTTGTCCATTTTTTCCTCTTTCTAAAAAAGAATATAACATCGGACTAGTTTGTGACGTCATAAAAACAAAAATTGTGAATACACTGCTTTGACAGTATAATATTTTCTGTTAATTTATATTTCTCATACAATTTATTGAATTCAGCACATTTCAGGAAGTTTTCAAAATTTGACTTTTGTGGGGGCAAATATATGCAATATACCGCATATAGTTCTTTCTGTGAAATTCTTTCAAAATGCTACTCCTCCTACAGTTTTAGTCTGATTTCAATATAACTTGGCACACAAGTAGACTACACTAAGATACATAATTCTGTGCATCGGTTTTTGATTTCGATGAACGGTGTTGCCGTGGTTACTAAAAATAGAAATTTCTTTGAAATTCTTTCAAAATGCTACTCCTCCTACAGTTTTGGTCCAATTTCAATATTACTTGGCACACAAGTAGACTACAGTAAAATACATAATTCTGTGCATCGGTTTTTGATTTCGATGAACGGTGTTGCCGTGGTTACTAAGAATAGAAATTTCTGTGAAATTCTTTCAAAATGCTACTTCTCCTACAGTTTTGGTCCGATTTCAGTATAACTTGGCACACAAGTAGACTACACTAAGATACATAATTCTGTGCATCGGTTTTTGATTTCGATAAACGGTGTTGCCGTGGTTACTAAAAATAGAAATTTCTGTGAAATTCTTTCAAAATGCTACTCCTCCTACAGTTTTGGTCCAATTTCATTATAACTTGGCACACAAGTAGACTACACTAAGATACATAATTCTATGCATCGGTTTTTGATTTCGATGAACGGTGTTGCCATGGTTACTAAAAATAGAAATTTCTGTGAAATTCTTCAAAAAGGTACTCCTCCTACAGTTTTGGTCTGATTTTTATATAACTTGGCAAACAAGTAGACTACACTAAGATACATAATTCTGTGCATCGGTTTTTGATTTCAATGAACAATGTTGCCATGGTTACTAAAAATAGAAATTTCTGTGAAATTCTTTCAAAATGCTACTCCTCCTGCAGTTTTGGTCTGATTTCAGTATAACTTGGCACACAAGTAGACTATACTAAGATACATAATTCTGTGCATTGGTTTTTATTTTGATGAGTGGCAAGGATCATTTTTCTATTTATTGCTGATTTAGTCTCAAGTCCCAACTGCTACTTTTCTCTTCCTTTGTTTTAAGTATAAACCAGTAGAGCTACAGTCTCGACAGAGACTTCTGGTTTTAAGAAACAATATTATTAACACATATTGCTACTGTTTACTTCAGTGGAATAAATACACTCCGACCCAATGTGTATTTTTAATTATATCCATCTTTTAAATTGTTTACAATGCATGATTTCATAACAGATTTCATAGATTTTATTTAAGAGGTGTAATAGATCCAATGGCAAATCACTCCACTTGCAGACCCCACCCCTCCCCCAACGGAATAACAATTAATTCTGACCAGGTGTAATACAGCTTTAAATTTTTCATCCAAGGGGAGATCACTCCACTTGCAGACCCCCCCCCCCCCCACCTCAAACAAAATAACAACTCTTCAGTATGCAGTGTAAAGATGATTCTTCTGTAAATTAAATAAATTTCATTAACACAAAGTTTTCAAAATGTAAAGTAAGGACATATTTTAAACCCACAAAAGTATTGCTCAAAGGTTTATCACTTCTCTAACAGATATTGATTGATTGCATCTGGCAAGCTTTTTAAAAAGCTGTTACTTGTATTATGTAATGATTTATAAATTTACATGACTGTGTTAAACGTGTTTCAAAGTCTTTACAGAAATCGTCACTCTAAATAATCCGTTGTGGGATCCCGATCCCGAGGTATTTTCATAATATTTGATTATCAGTTTGTGTGGTTACTGAATATCATACAATTTCCATGTATAAATGTTAATTATCAACGCCCACCACTCAAAAGTCTGAAGTTAAATTAAATTGTCCGAGGTATTCTTTATAAAGTATGTCAAAGGTCAAGGTCAAGTGAATTGTAACGATAGTATTTTTCATGTTTTATGACAATTAGTGAACATGCAAAATAACAAAGAATTACACCTTAAATGTAAAAAGTTATGCTGTATAGTAGGACTTTTAACTTTTTAGTAAAGATGATCAAAGGAGAAGGTCAAGGGTCGCGCGGTCGGTAGCCATGGTAACTTACAAATGCCATAGTGCCAAGCAATAAATGTGCAAATATCAAGTCCATTTCTCTTACAGTTCGTGAGATACAAGGGGGGGGGGGGGGGGGACATACATACAGACGCCGGGTACAGTGATACCGAAGTGCAGTATGCTCCGCAGGCGACACAAAAAGCGTATATTTCCCCTATGATAACAAATTTTCTGAAAGTAAAACTTGAGAAAAAATATTTTTAAAATGAAAATTCTCATTGAAATATTGATGGCTCCTCCTTTTTTGCAGTATAGTAAAATAAGGGTAGTGTTGTAGCGTATGAGGAAAACTGGTACTGAAAGAAGTTGGAATTTTCCACCCCACTCCTCAACGAAATAGGATATTTGAGTTTGTAGAATTTCCTTTTCTTTTCTTCCTCGTCATGTTTTTCAAGTGAATTGACATTTTTTTCTCCGGCTGCCAACTTTAAAAATGGATGACACGCCCCTGTTTAAAACGGAAAAAAATAGGAAAGCTTAAAGTTTAAGAAAGTTTTAAATTCATTCCTTGTTAAGATGATAATGTAAACTGTTTTTAATTCTTTTATCTTATCTGGTCGCCCCCTTAAAAATGATGCTACATCCTTGTTTAAAATTAGAAAACTTTATGAAAGCTTAAAATAGATCAGTGGAATCACGTTTAATTAACTCTCTCGATGATGCCGCCCACGAGGTACCGAGATACGAGCCAATGCTCTAGAGTCCCGGAGTAAGGAGTTATTCCTTATTCAGGTGTTTGAATTCTACTGTGGGAAACAAATACCCATCTTTGTAAAATTCTTCGTCATTAAGGTCATACGCAACGTAGTTTGAACTTTATTGGGTTCTTCTCTGGAGATGAAGAGTTCCACTAAATAAAGAACCCGTGTGCAATACTTTTAATGTCCATGTATGGATTTGTACAACTCTTCTATAACAAATTTTGATGAAAAAAAAATCTTACGATTTTATGTTTTATAATTTTAGTACATTTTTCTTTGAATAATGCAAAAATTTTCATAATTTGATATCTTCTTAAAACCCCTGGTAAGTAAACACATGCTGATTTTTTGTTTAAGAATATGTAATCACAGGGGCCGGTAACATACTGTTTTTGATTTTAGTATGTAATCACTATATATATATACAAAAAAAGAAAGGGAAACAACGTCAGCCCGAATTTACACAAGGTCGATCTCGGAAATATTTCGTATTTCATAGAAAAAA